GCACGGCGCCAGAAGTCACTTGGTTCAAAGATGGCAAACAGATCAGAACCGACTCAATGCATGAGATCATAAAAGAAGAAACGACGCAAACTTACACACTTATCATCAAAGAATCTAGCCTTACCGATGCTGGCCATTATGAAGTGAGGGCAGAGAACTCATCCGGCTGCGTACAGAGCACTGCTGAGGTTACGGTAACGCAAGCTCTACAGAAACCCACCTTTATCAAGGAGCTGGTATCCACTGAAGTGAAAGTGAATGAAACGGCAACGTTGAGCGTTACCGTACAAGGTATGCCAGCTCCAGAAGTCATTTGGAAGAAAGATGGTCAACCAGTCAATATCGACAACACCCATATCATCTCCAAGAAGGAAAGCGAGCAGAACTACTCGATTACCATCCATTCTGCTCGAATAGAAGATGCTGGAAAATACAGCTGCGAAGCCAAGAACGTTGCTGGAACAGCCGAATGCTCAGCTAATTTCGCTGTCGTCAAAACTATGGAAGCTCCACAATTCACAGAATCTTTGCGACCTGTTGAGATCAAGGAGACAGAAGCTGTACAACTATCAGTGACAGTAACTGGAACACCACAGCCACAAGTGTCATGGTACAAGGATGATAGACCAGTGGAAATCGACGCTGTTCGCACGATTGTCAAAGATGAAGGCAGTGGACATTATACACTGACAATTAAAGATAGCAAAGTGACAGATGTTGGCAGATATTCGTGCAAAGCTGTCAATGCGGCTGGAGAAGCTCGTACTGAAGCTACCGTTCATATCGCCAAGGAAACTGCTGCACCACAATTTACGGAATTCCTCAGACCTATGGAAGTGAAGGAGACGGAGACTGTGAAGTTGTCAGTGACAGTGACAGGAATTCCACAGCCGCAGGTGCAATGGTTCAAGGATGACAGACCAGTGGAGATTGACACAGTCCGAACCATTGTCAAGGATGAAGGTCATGGCAGCTACACTCTGACAATCCAGAATGCCAAAGCGACAGATGTTGGCAAATACAGCTGTAAAGCTGTGAACGAAGTTGGAGAAGCTAGAACTGAAGCTACCGTACATATCGCTAAGGAAACGGCTGCTCCACAATTCACAGAATTCCTTCGACCAATGCAAATCAAAGAAGCTGAGACAGTGAAATTGTCAGTGACAGTGACAGGAGTACCACAACCACAAGTGTCATGGTTCAAAGATGACAGACCTGTTGAGATTGACACAGTTCGCATGATTGCCAAAGATGAGGGTAGCGGTCACTTTA